GTCTTGCCTAATTAATCAGCTAATCTGTTCACGCATAATAGACCACGGAATTGCCAAATTCTGGGAAACAAAACTGAACTTTCCATTTTCCAACCGGATCAAACAGACCCGGATCAAACTGACCAAGAGCTAAATCTGCTGTCATTAGATTTCAGGTTCAGGGCAAGCTGAAACCGGTCTCTGAAACACACGATCATAGGTCCTAAACGCTGCATTCGGTTCAATACAATACTATCTATTATCTACTAATTGGTGCGATTTTGTTAAGAAGAGCTTTCTATCACAATTACCATGGCCTATGTACAAAGAGTTCTTATGTAAGATGGGATGGGGTATTCACGACTCGACCACCAGTGTTGTAGTTGAGGCCACAACCTCCGAGGCCGAGGCCAAGGCCGAGGCTACAACCTCCGAGGCCAAGGCCGAGGCCGAGGCCACAACCGCGAGGCCGAGGCCAAGGCCGAGGCCACCACCTCCGAGGCCAAGGCCGAGGCCGACTATTAAAACACGTAATAAGATATAAATCACTAAAACAAGGCTAAGATTATGTTGGAGTTTTAACATCTTTTTAGATGAATTCACTGAGTTTTGGAGTGCCTGGCTTACAGCTTGCAATGTGTTTCCTCTTGTAGGGAGTCTGGCGAATTAATTTTTCTAAAGAAAGAAATCTCAAGTTTTGTAACACTGAAAAGCGAATTATACAACAAAATCAATGGCATTTGAATCAGCCTCATTGGAGATACAATTTAAATGGCCAAATTTTGAGTTTCTATTCTGTAAGATTTACATTATTTACTTTTAGCATGTTTTATAAAATGTTATTTTCCAAACCTATCACAATATTTAATATCATAGGAATCCCCATTAAATAAACAACAACTTGATTTTTGAATCATGTTTTTACCACTAATAACCATAAGTTACGACCCCCCCCCCCCCTGGACCTTCGCACTGTCCAGGCGCGCGCCGAGCAAACACCGCGATGCGACCAGACAGTGCCAGACTGCCTGCCGTTAGGCACGGGCAAAGTATAGTTCCAATCCCACTCCACACAACGGAAGAAGTATCCACGCATTATCACTGTTAATACCGCGGTGCAAGACAAAGTCTGGCAATGGCCGATCCCGCCAAACAACACGGCAACACGGAACATGCAAGCATGATATCATTCAGTTCATCAAAATGCCCACGAATTCTCGGATCATCCGATTGGGATCCAATGGCTTCGAAGAATTTTAAGTTCATGGCAAGAGTCCAGTGGTTTTGGCCGTATATCTGTAACCACGCAAAATTAGTCAATTTCAAACCGTGCTAATACATATAGTAAGTATCAACATGGCTCTAAAAATACCAAGTATCCTGGTACCACGAGGAATACTGACTTAATTCAGAACTTTGCATTCATTTTGATGGAAAAACGAATTCTGAAATCGCGCTTTCCATATCGACCAATTGCGCCAAACATTACCGTGTGAGCCGGAACTTTCATTTAAACCACCGTGTAAAAATAAAATCTACTTGATAAATCGTAACTGTTTAACTGTTTTTATCATATCTTATGAAAAGAAAATGGTACAGACTAGTACACTCGATAGCACCCAGAAAGTTCAGACTTTTATTAAAATAGTGGCCTATATAAAAAGGAATGGTTAAGCTTGCGGCACCTTGCGGCAAATCATTTTTAAAGGTCGGGGTACAGAGGCGAAATGCAACACTGCAACCAGACTAGTCTACTACCGGATGAGATTGGTGCCAGACTTATGTAGTCTGGCACACGGTAACAGTTATAACGCTTGCACGCACGTGGAAAGCTGAAGCGCAGGCTAGGCGAAGATGCTACGTACGTACGTTCAATGCAACCATTACCAGTGTGTTCATTCGATCGTGCGTACATTGTATATGCGTTCGTTTCACGGAACCCACTGCGGCAGAAACTCAAGGGTTTGATAAGGTAACAAATTTAAATTAATTAGAATAGAAAACACATCAAAATGGGCGGCCTCGAGCCGGCCTCGACCGATTCGCCGAGGCCGGAAGGCTCCGAGGCCGAGGCCAAGGCCGAGGCCTTGCACTCCAAGGCCAAGGCCATGAAAATCGGCCTCCAGGCCGAGGCCGGCCTCGAGACCTCCAACACTGTCGACCACGCCTAGGTTGTAAGCGGTTGCGGAAAGTCTACGAGGGAATCGAATAACACGTTTTTGGTTAAAAACTTTATGACAGATCTATTTAATGTGGGGTGTAACGTATACATTTTGTATCTAATAAAAACCAAACAACTCGCACGGCACAATAAGCACACAGATGAGGTAAAATAATCTAGGTTTTTTGGTTGCACTGTAACAACTGCGGAGTGCTCACTGCAGGTGGGAAGACTGAAGCATGGCTAACCGTGTGCGGTATGTCCCTTTGTCCTTGAGCCGCCCATCCCTGACCAACGACTGAGGGTTGCGGGCTTGGCCTGCCGCCTCAGAGGGGTTGCCAACTGGGCCCATCTGGTGGTTGGCAGACAGGGCCGATAATGAAGCCGAGTCAGACTGAAAGGCTTGCAAAAAACCTGCCCTAGAAATCGGATCCTCACCCCTGGAGCGTTTGTCCCGGTGGAATCGATCTGAGGAGTCGTCCGAGTCTGAGGTATAATGTTGTGGTCGACGACCCACCTTATTAGCTGTTTCGGTGACTCACCGAAACAGCTATTGTTTTCGTTAAGATTTTTTTTTTTTTTTTTTTTTTTTTTCCCCCCCCTCCTTTTTCAGACTTTTTCTCCATAGGTTTAACACACGTTTCTTCCACCAGTCCACTTTGCCACTTTTTCAAATCCGATTGATTTCAGACTTGATACATACTCAGACCACCACCCACAGATGGTCCTAGAAGAAATTCGTGACCGTGACGTCATCAGGTGTCGGGTTACGTCACATTAAAGATGCATTTTTCCCCATATGTTTTGTACACGTTTTAAAACACTCCACTTTGGCCTCTTCGTAAATCCGAACGACCTCAGACTTGATACATACTTAGACCACTACCCACAGATGGTCCTAGAAGAAATTTGTGATCGTGACGTCATCAGGTGTTGGATTACGTCACATTAAAGATGTATTTTTCCCCATAGGGTTTGTACACGTTTTAAAACATTCTACTTTGGCACTTTCGTAAATCTGATCGACGTTAGACTTGGTACACACTTAGACTACCACCTACAGATGGTCCTAGAAGAAATTCGTGATCGTGACATCATCAGGTGTAAGGTTACTTCACATTTAAGATGCATTTTTCCCCATAGGGTTTGTACACGTTTTTCTTCAAATCATACTTTGGCACTATATGTCTGATTGACTTTTCACTTGGCAGATGACATTCGAAGTGACTTCATCAAGTGTTCATCACGTGCACAGAGTATTTCAAATATCCGAAACAGCTTGTGTTTGTCCACAAACACATTTCTAGTTCTTCTTGCTCTTTTTATTTGAAGTGGCCCTGGGGTATACCCAAGGAAAAGTTGGATGACACTAGGGGCACCGGAACCCCCGAACAACGGATAAAATCCGACAAGGGGGTCCCTGAGAGCGAGATAATACGGAGCCCGCCGGTCCACGGTCCCCCAGGCGGCTTGCTCTGCATTGCTCATGTCATTCCTGGCCGTCAGCGCTTTAAGCCCCATGGGTTGGGTTGGGTGTGAGCGTTGTCCGGTGGCCTGTACAATAGTCCATCCAGGCACTCAGTGGTGTTAGGCACTGTGTTGGGAGGACATGGGTGACTCAAGCCCACTGAACTGTGAAGGCTAGTCCCCTCGGGCTGCCCCGTGTTTGGGGATGGGACAGAGGGTGTAGTGAAGCCCGGACCCGAGCCTCATTCACCATGTCAACCCTTTTTAGGTTTGGCTCCGGCAGATGAGATAAGTTTGGAGGAACCTTCCCGGAGCACCCCTTTCGTTTGGCTGTTCCGCTTAGGCTGACCGGAGAAGGCAACCGATGGTTCCCTCATTGGTCAACGGAACTGCCAGAGCCCGCAGCCGGCAGTGGCTGGGGATGCTGGACAGGAGACCGCTGCCGCAATAACGATGTAGCGTTAACGGCAGAGTCCCCCGAGAATTTGGTCCATTCTGAGGGAGAGCCAGTTCTCTCCAAACGCTTTATTACTATGCAATATCACACAACAAGACGATACAATAACTCTACTATAAATTCTTTAATCAAAATCTTCTCTTAAGTGATAAGGGTAGCAGAAATTGACGAGAAATACAGAGCGTATTTTATGCACATCCTACCCGACCGGCCGCTACCGCTAAGAGAAAAGAGGAAGAGCACAAGGCACTATGGGTAGGACACCAGAGGGCGCTATCGTGTAAACTCTTAGCATAAATACCTGCCGGTTTAGGGAAATATGCATAAGTAGGTTGCTCTACAAGTAAATTGAGTGAAGTAGACCTGGAATTTCCATGAAAACAAATCATGAAGTTGAGCTGCTTAGTCCTCTCGAGGGTTTACTGATCTTCAGATGCATGTTAAAGTGGTTTTTTTTTTTATCAATACAGAAACAGTGTACTTGGAGACCCAGGCTTATTTGCAGTCTTACTTGAAGGTCAACTATTAGGCTGCGTCTGAATCACATTGCTTGGGCCTGAAAAAACATACGCACATATCGAAGCCACTGGTCAATGGCTGCAGCCACTTCCTACTGACTCAACTTTTATTGCTGACTGTAGCCATGTGATTCGACCGCGGCCTTAGTCATTAGTGAGGAAATCAATGCTTTGTCAAATATGGAATACTTTTGTTTAGTTCAGTCATGATTAATGACAAATGGTGGGATGTGGACTTGATACACAATTTCTCAATTTAATCATTTGACCAAATTCAGCATTGGGTTTGAATAGATTTAATGATAAGTTCCACTTTAATTGCATGTGATACCCACTAATTAAAGTGCTAACAAATGCTGTCATTTTCTTTGTAACTAAAGCTTCAGTTGAGAAAACAAGAGGAAGAAAATATACGTACATGGTATTTGGGTGGCAACGGTCCATAGTATGGCTTGTCCTTGGAAAGTGGAATATCTTCACCAACTCGAACATCATTCCAATGTTCCCAGGCTGGCGGGGGCAGGCCTTTGGTGTAGTATGGGTTGGGGGCCATACTCATTGAATCCAAAGGGTACAATGATTTGTATTCCTTTGGGTACCTAAGGATCAAGAACACAACATACTTCAGCTCTAAGTACTGCTACTGGAAAAAATATTTCTAAAATTCTAGAGCATGTATAAAATGCTGTTTTTTGAAGGGGCTGAGTTTGGCTTTTCCTTAAATAAACCTAGAAAAGACATTACTAATATTTTCAGCTAAATTTTGTTCTCCAATTTGTTCTTTTCTGTAGTCCTTTTTAGAAGTGACATTATACTGATGTCATTCTTTGATTGTTTAATTTTAAAGAGCAACCAAAACAGAATGTGGTTGACAAGACCAATTCCTCAATTCAACATGTAAAATTACCACAGCTGTCCTATTTACACTGGAAATATTTCTCACACAAGGGCCACAGTGAAACAGATTTTCCCTGATTTCCGAAATACTCATTAAGTATTAATGATATGAATGTGATCCCTAAATCGTCATCAAATGACACGAAAAATAAACAATGTGTGTGATATAGGCATGCATGCACACTTGTTCACTCTGTCCCACTGTAATGACAATATTTCCTCACACTGGGTGATTTGATACATTTCTGTCATATGTTGGGATTAGACGAACATCATTTGGTTCCCATATGATGTAGCCAGGTTCAATTGACATGGCATATAGCTTGCTGCGACGTCATCGAGTTATTGCTACAGCCAATAGGAAGGCAGGCTTAATTGACAGGTTGAGCATATAGTGGCCCAATTGGTTCATACGGCATTTGTGACGGTGTTCCTAGAACAAGAGTGAGGCCCCATGATGGAATTAGATTCTGAGTGGGAGGTTTCTGGATGAACATCCCACAGAGGATTTGGATTAAAGTTTTGATTGTTAGACACTGAGGAGCCATCAGTACACCCTTTATGATAGAATGTCTGTGTCCAACCCTTGTGGATCGGGGTATCTGGTGCAAGAGACCGGAATTTGGTGATTTTTTCTCTGATGCAAACAGATCTATATGCGGTCAGTCTATGTGTGCAAAAAAAACGGTGGCACTACCTGGGGTTGCAGTGTCCATTCTGTTGGACGGATGATCCCAATGGACAATGCATTGGTGATACAATTGTACTTGACTGGAAGATGCGTGGCTATCAATGAAATGTTGAACTTCAGGCACCATTGGAGTAGTTCCCATGTGAGGAGGCAAAGTTGTCCCAACCAAGTGCCTCCCTCGCGATTGATGTTTGAAACAACTGTGGTGTTGTGGCATTTATCAAGACCATCCAAATCTGAATGCTTGGTTAGAAATATTTGAGAGCATTGAAAACTGCCTGCAGCTCTAGGACATTGATGTGCCAAGCTTGTTGATGTTGGAGCCACATCCTGCTATTTGACGAGAAGCAAATGTGGCTCCCCAGCCTGACCGAGAGGCATCTGTGGTTAGGACTTTTGTTGGTAGCCGTTTTGGGAATTTTAGGCTGCTTGTCAATTTGACAGGATCTAGCCACCATAGAAGGTGTGGCTGTAGGTAGACAACATGGTACCATGAGGCTGATTGGGATATGTCTCAGTTGATAGTGAGCAAGGAGGTGGAGTTGAAGTGGGCGCATGTGAAGTCGACAATAAGCCACCAGGTCCACCATACTTGCCATTAATCCCAGTAGTTTTAGCCATGCTGCTGCTGGGACCACAATTTTTTTGAGTAACAATGTTACACATTGTTGGAGTTTTGGGTGCGTATATCTGTAGGGAAGGCAGTTCTTGTTGTGAGATTATCACTACTCCCAGGAAAGTTGGGGTCCGTGTGGGAGTTGGTTGCGACTTCGTTTCGTTGATGAGGAATCCAAGTTGAGTCGCCATACGCAAGGTCAAATTGAATGCTTTGCTGACTTACTGCTTTGACCGACCGACCACCAGCCAATTGTCCAGATACATGAACACCATGATATTCTGTCTGTAGAGGGCAGCACCTAAGGCTTTCGCAATCCCTAGACCCAGGGAGATGTTGAATGCCCAAATAGAAGGGCTGCAAACTCGCTTTTTTTGGTAATTTTATTTATCGTTCTTTTAGCAATTTATTTTTCTTAGTTTAATTTAATGTATTTAATTTAATCTAATTTAGTTTTAAAGGGAATGTACAACATTTGCTTTTGCTGCAATTTTCAGAAATAAATGGATAAGGAGGATTAGCATGCTATAGCAGATATTGCTAAACAGACTTGTTTCAAGTTTTGGGCTTGTAGATGCTAGAAAAACCAAGAAAACCAATCATGTTCTCGTAGAGCCTAGGCCATGGCCACATTTCTCTCTTCTACCTGGTCTACAAATGGGGTGGGCATGATTTTGGTATGGTTTTGCAGGGAAAAATCCAAGAAACGTTCGGTTACTTTTCACCCGCGAGATTTGGTTACATTAATTAGTAATATTGTTTTTTTCAAATTTTTTTAATGTTCAAAATATACCGCTCAGCCTCGAACGCACATTAGCCAATCAGAAGACATATTTTATTGATCATAGTCGATTGGCCAATCACAATCGCGGTAGTGGAGTGGTCCAGTATATCGCGTCGAAACAACATGGCGGCTTCCTGTGAGGAAGACATTTCGTCTTCAAGCGACGAAAATACACATGAAATATCGTGTTTTATGTGCATTTCCCCGTCAAAAAAGTGCAGAATGACGGCGTTCTCTGGTAAAACATGGACACGCTTCCTAGAGTACGTCATCAAATGGAAAGATTTGGATGGTCCTAAAGCACAAATTGTGATAGATTTTGCCGCCGACAACTCGGCAGCTGCAGCAGTGGCAGGCCTTCGCACAACTTTGTAGTGCAGCAATACCACAACACGGTGGATACCACACGACTTGCTACGCACGATTTACAGATTCTCAGCGCATTGAAAGAACAACGAAAAGCATGAGAAAGAAAGCCGATGCAGCAGCTTCTACAGGTGAGCTCAATATTTCTTTAAGCATGTTAAGAAAGCTTAAAACTTCATCATGTAAACAGGTAAACTGAAGTTTTACTAAATTACTGTCGATAATTTCGATAACAAAACTCAAACTCTGTCGTTGTTGTTGTCCATGTCATGTCATAAGCCCAATCAAGCCAATGTCTAAATCTTGCTGATACTAGTCCTAAAATGAATAAACTCTTAATAATCATGAGCATGATTTCAGTAATTTCAAGGACACAAGGAGTAATAATAAGGCAGTGGATATTTTGGCAAACCTTTAGTAAACGTTAGCAGGTTAGTTTGCTGAATATGCACTGAACATGCGCAGTTACTGTTTTTTTGTACTTAAACATTTTCCGTGAACAAATTTTAGTCTGGCTCCATGCCAATATTTTCGTTGTAACCTCGTATTCACAAGATGGGATTCAGACCATTTTATAATTTCGGACTTTATTTCCCTTTTAAAAAAAATCCTCCAGAGCCACAAATCTGAAAAAGAAAATGTATTACTCTGCAATAAAATGTTTGAGACATGTTAAAATAATAAAAGAAGAATATTCTTATTTATTTGGAGATGGGAAAATTTTTTTTTAAAATGTGGCGGAGATCGGGATCGAACTTGAGTCATCCCGCTCACTAGTGCTTTTGCTTAACCACTGTACCAAACGTGCTACACAACTTTGGTGGGAATTTAATACATCTTATAATTCAGCCCTATCTTAAAGAGTACAGCGCACTCTGTTGATATGGATTGCCGCCGGCAAACCTTGAGTAAACGTTAGTTTGCCGTCATTACCTCCGGCAAAATATCCACTATCTAATAATAACGCAGTGGCTATCGTTACGGCAGCCATAACGTATTTCCCATTTTCTATCGTTACGGTAGTACTGCAACTTTTATAAAAACATGAGAAGAAAATATAAAATTAGAAGGAAAAAGTGAATTTGAACGTTATGAAATTCGGACTTTATTTCCCTTTTAAAAAAAATCCTCCAAAGCCTAGTTAGGCCAAAACAAAAAAGTCTCTGGTTTCTGGTATGGAGCTTGCCCAAAAAGTGGTGCGGCGACGCGGCTTTTTTTTTTTAAACCTAATTTTTTTGCTTCATATGTGTGCTGATGACTGCAAATGGTGCCCGACTAAACTTAGTGCAAATATATGGGAGTCCAGAGAGGCCACATAAAACTTATTCTCGACCATAACCCAATCTAAAAACACGTTAAAATTGTGCAGCAGCTGGATTCCAGTCAAACCAGTGAGTTTGGCGGTTTTGAGACATCATCTTTCATTGAAAAAAACTTTTTCATTTTGCCGACGTGCATGGCTACGGCGAAGCGCGCGCATACCAGAAACCGGAGACTTTTTTTTTTTGGCCTTAGGTTAGAAAAGGAAAAAATTTGAGTGCAAAACTGAGATGCAAACCCGCAACCTTGCGGTGCAAAATCCTACCCTCTATCGACTGAGCTGTCGCACTGCTCGCTAAAACGTGGGGAAACAAATAATTATATACCTGCGTGCGTATCAAAAAGTATCGTAGAGGGCGCTAAACAACGGCTGCCTTAACAATAGCCACTTCGTAAGTTACTTTCTAACTAGGGTTGTGACCATGTAATAAATTAAAGAACATGAACAGTGAGTAGGCCTATTCGATTGCAGGTCAACTCGCACCCTGACCGACTCGCCCCTTACCGACTCGCCCCCTGACCGACCCTTACAAGCTCGCCCCTTACAAGCTCGCCCCCTGGTTGACTCGCCTCCTAGCTGACTCGCCAACTCGCCTCCTAGCCGACTCGCCTTCAGACTGACTCGCCCCCTGACCGACTCGCCCCCTAGAAAATTATGCACCGTACGGGGACATCGTGAAAAAAAATTATATGTGTTGGGAAACAACTTAGCACAGCTTTACCGATATAGTGCAGCATGATTTTTCGCAGAGTGCCCATGGCGCGGCACACTGCCCGCGTTGGGCCTGTGCACGTAGCATTCACGGTGACTGCCGGCATGCGGAAGGTATCATTCACCGTTTGTTGACATAACTTGTTAATCTCGACTCTGGGTCCTCAGTTTCATTAAAAATATTTTTAGAATAAATGAGGTAGGGCCTACATGTATGTTTTTTGGGGTATTTTTGGTTTAGTGGTGTTCTTATCAAACATACTGAACGGTTTTGAAAAAGTTATAAAAGAGGCTCGTAATGGAACTTTCAAAACCAGGGCAGAACCAAATATTGAATTGGGCATCCCGGCAATCGTAAAAGTTCAATCCCAAAACTAAGGTAAATGAAGCTGATTTGCTGGACCCTCTGTGTTACCCTCCACTGTCTTTATTATTTTTTTTTCACGATGTCCCCGTATGGTGCATCATTTTCCAGGGGGCGTGTCGGTCAGGGGGCGAGTCAGTCAGGGGGCGAGTCACTCGTACTCGTAAGTCGTTCATGTACATGTATCATGCAACCATGATTTTTTCTTATTGTTTTCTTTCTTGTGTTTATTTTGTAGAAAAAACAGCAACCACATCACAACTTGATGATGAACACAACATTGGTGAAAGTCCTCAACCAGCCAGAAAGAGAAGAGCTCTTCGTTCCAGCATGGGCAGACCTCCAGTGCCTGCAAGGTCAAATTCCCTGATTAAGCAGAAAAATTTTCTTCAAATTACTTCCAGCATGTACATTTTAAACAAATTAAGCTCTATTTATAAGGGCGTGATCACTGGATCTGCATAAAATTTGTAGATAAAAGGAAGCCATACATGTATCTTTTCTGTGGAATACATAAGTCAATTAAATTAAGTCTCTGACATTGTGACATCTTAAATTATATTATCATAAATTCAGTACAGCCAGTGGTTTTATCAGAATTGTCTTTGTCATCCCTCAAAGTTGTTTGTTACTGACTTCCTAATGTTGCATTCATTGCTCGTAATCTCGTTTGTAAGGTTTAAGATTCGTAGAAATGAGAAACCATTTAACTTTAGCCACAATATACCTGTGGGGAGAGGGCAAAACAAAGTTTCACAAAAATTAATTTCAAAATGGTACAAATTAGAAACGAAATCTTGGCAACCAGATAAAAATAGGCTTGGAGCAACTGACATTGCGGGGTAACTACCTGGTATGTTATGACGTCACTTGATGTTGATCATGCTATCGTGTTATTTTTTTGTTATTCACCTGCAATTGATGCTCCAAGCAAGTTTTAACTTGTTCTCATCATTATTTTTAATTATACATTAAAATCAGCATTAAGCTGTTTGATATTTTTTATGGGTATAGACCAGCAAGAACCTGTATTTATCACATAATACATGAACTGCACATTACTTGCACATTGTAAAAGCTTTGTTGACTTGTTATGTCAAGTAAAAACCATAACTCCCTTGAGCGTGTACAAAATGTATTGAAAATGGAGAATTTGGGATTATTATGGTTAATAAAAAAGTGTACAATAAGTATTTTAAAATAAATTGCATTCGTTCTGTGTTATTTGAGTTGTGATTTTCTTTTTATTTAATAACGTGTAGTTGGTGTATGTTGCGGGTTTGAGCAAGCGGTTCTCAGTAGTGTACAACATTACCACTTGTGAAAAGTAGTATGTTGTTCCTGGTACTATGGGCTTTCATTTCCTACCCTTTTCCCTCCCACCCCAGATGTAGACCACTGAATCAAAAAACAAGAGGCGTATTGATCCCATGGCCCATAGTCTATTGTAGTCTGGTTCCCTGACCCCAATTAAGATGAAACGGAGCAATTATAGACTTTGGGAAATTGAAAGGTCAGAGAATCAGTCTAGCAGGCTTGTACCCCTTCACAGCCTGGTGTGTAATCAATTGCAAAGAGCAGAAATGCAGAATAACTAAATATGCAAATGTAGGAGCAGTTTTTGAGAAAAAAAAGGCTAGTTTTCTCCAACGCTGGTCGGCCGACCATTGTTGGAAAAATACAATTTTTCTTAAAAATGTCAGCACACTAGGAGCCACGATTTTACAGGATGCCTAAGACTGTCATTCCCTAACAATCCAGTAAGGTGTTTCGTGATAATTTGATCATTTTTATCGTTGATACATGTATTTGCAAATGTTGTATTTTCCCTTTAATACATGTACATGCACTCAGTTTGTTTTTGAGGTTTCTTTGAAGATTTTAATTTTAATTTTGTTTATTTAATTTAATTGGATTGATTTAATGTAATTTAATTTTTGAGTGTGTGAACCTTTTAGTCAGGAGAGCCCCTTGACAGAGACTTTGTCTCTTTTGGGAAATCCTTCGGGAGCTGTTAGGTTTTTTTGGTTTTCTGTTATTGTCCTTTAATTTGTAGGTATTGGTTTTTACTGTTTATCCCGAGAAATATAGTAAATGTAAATGTAAATGTTTCTGTAATTTCCAAACGGGCCGATGGTTCACTTGGACACTCTGTGTACAGGAAACCCACACATACAGACCGATACCTTAATGCTCATTCATTCCACCCACCGTCAGTAAAAACCTTGGTAAACAGCACCCTACTTCGAAGGGCACACATCATCACAGAACACCTACCATCCGAATTGAAGCCTCCTCAATAAAGTGCTAAGAGACAATGGGTACAGACCTAAAAATCAAAACT